AAAAGAGTAGACCACCATATTATGATTTCTTAGTCCAGTCTTCAGAAGTTAAAATTCTTTCAATGTTATTTTTGTTTAAACAGACAAGCAGCTCGGCCCAGAACTGCTATAGGAGATAGAGCCTGATAGCTTTCAAGAGAATTGATAGATATCGCCTGAACAGAGCTAGGTTCTGCTTTGTATTTACTGATTGTTTCGAAATGCAGGTTTTCAGTTGATAGGATTAACTAAGACTTGCTGTCTCAAAAGAAGCTGCTTTCAATGGGGAAGAACTGACAAGAGATCTGCTGGAGATGTTGATCCTCTGACAGTTTCATAAATTTTGCATTTGGAAAGTGATTCATCAAAAGGATACAAAGAAGTCAAGGAGGTACATTTTACCACAAATATTCCAAGATACTCCAAAAATTAAAACTCTTCTTCTAGAGTTTCAATTGCACATTAATCTTACTTTTCTCCCTAGTTAATTGTGGCTTTGCTCAAGGATTTTACTACTTGAGCAAATACTCCTTCTTCATTCACTTGCCAGTTACCTCTGAGAGTCAGCCTCACAAATAATATCTTAAGACCATGTAAAGCCATATTACAAGACAGACTTTTAAAAATGACAGTATCCATCTTTCTGGCAAATGAGAGACTAGGGTAACATTCTAAAAGAACATGAAAGCTAAGAATACAGACAAGACCAGGTTTGTTTTACGACACACAAATCCACACCAAAGTATAACACATAAAGGTCTCCAATCCCTATAATCTCTTTATTCTTTTAAAGGAAAGAGTTTCTACCAGAGCAGTTGGTTAGTCAGCTATCTCCAAGCCCAACCTCATTCTATACCCAAAACCTCATTAAAAAAAAAAATCAAGCTTGCTAAAATTTGATGACATAATTAGGTTTCTTAGTTTGATTTTGTTTAAACACCTTAATATAGACTCAATCTAGCTGTTGAATAGACTCAACATGGGGTTCCATAACTAGAATCCTACGCCACGGACCCAGCAAATGCCCTGGATCTTAAACAAAACAAAAATAAATCAAAAGGAATCTGTAAGAGAAAAAAGATGGCTAAGGTAAATCAGAGTAGTAATTAA